AGCCTAACAAGCTGTGCCTGGCCATAAAATGATGAAACAATACAATGTAGGCACACACTGTGTGAATACCAAATAAATTGACTTGGGCCCCCCCCCACCCACCCCCACCCCACCCCTTCAAAGTAGGCCTGTGTGTTCATTAATAAATTCATATTCTGAGTTTTCAATAAAAGAAGAAAATGCAGTGTAAACTGGAGTTACTTAGTGACACCCAGCTCATTGCTTTTTATTGTTGCTTGCAGCTACGAAGCCTTCGCTGTGCACTAGTAGAATTTATTACTGTCTGTCTTTGTGGCAAGTTGGCGAAGTGAGCCTTTTGAAGAAAATTGACCCACACTTCATGAATATGATGAAAAATGCCAATAACACTACAAAGACAAAGCTCTTGACATTAGTGTGCGAAGAACTAAGAGACGGTAATGAAAATATTGCAATTACAAATCATATCCCTCCTCCCCGGCCGAGGGGTGCGGGCATTCGGGGGACACGGGGGAGCCCCAGGACCCCGCTGGGGGTGGGGTGGGCTGAAGAGTAAGGGGGGGTGGGCACCGTTTCACTGTCTGGCCCCCTCCCCATCCTCCACGCTTTGAAGGAGGAAAGGGGTAAGAAGAGGAGAGCAAGCAAAGTGCTTAATCCAGCAAGGATTCCCTCCTAGAAGGTTGCACAGCATCTCTCTGAGCCTGCGTGCAGAGGGAGAGTGGTCTTGTTGCTAAGGCACAAGATTAGGAGCCGTGGGGTCCAGCTTGAGCTTGCCCTTCGTCCATACTCCTCCTGGAAGCTCCTGGACGCCAATCACTGTAAGACTGTGCCTCAATTTCCCCCTCTGTAAAATAATTTTTCCTTCTATGCTTTATGAATGGAGCTTCTTTGACTGGCATCTCCCCTGAGCTGCCTCATTCTGCTTGTTTGCCTGTCCCCCCTCCACTCTTTCGGTGTTGCAGTAACAGTGATAGGTTAAAAATTAGCATCTCAGAAGCAGAAAGGTCTGTCTCAGAGGTTCTGTCCCAGAAAGAGACAACAAGAAGCAATGTGAAGTGTGAAAGTTCTCCATTTAATTCTTAACCTGGTAATAAGAAACTTGATCAGTGAAAATACAAAAGGATCAAATAGGGCAGGCTTTTTTTCCCCCCCCTTCCCAGCAGTTGTTGGAGCACTAGAACAAAGCAGCTTCAAGACAAGAAATGTGAAGGCTAAGAGAAACTGAGCTAAAAAAAAAAAAAAAAATTAAAATCAGCAACTAAAGGTTATTTAGCCCTATGTTGAAAATTTGCCACTTTCTGAACTTACCATCAATCAAATTTTCCGTCACCAAGATAAACTGTAAGTGCCAGGCGCTTTGTTTATGCATTCTGCTCTTATATTTACTGTGGAGAGACCTGCTAAAAATCAAATAAAAAGCAAGCATGCTATCTACTAAATTTGGATGTGACAGTCATAGGTATATCTTGCCACGTTGGAATGCTGGTGCTGGAGCAAATCAGCTGAGCTGCACCGTTCCCGTGTTCCTCTTTCCATTTGCAGGAGATGACCCTTGCAAACTGCGGCAAACCAGGACTGTTTTCCTCTGTGATGTGTGGCCGCTGATGAGACAACCATGAAGTCAGCTGGAGCAATTCTGCAGGTCTGTATGAAGTGATGGGCACCCAGGTATGGGCTAATTGGAAACGGCCTCCATCTGACTCCATCAGACCTGTGCCACTTGTGGATCCTGTGTTGGATACCTCACGTAGCACAAAGGTGCCCCAAAGTACTCAGACCCCTGAGTGCATCTCAGGGTTGTCTCAGCATCGTGACCATCTCATGGTGCGGCCTCATTTCTCTTGGAAAAGACTTCACCGCATCTGAGGAGTCAAAGTGAATGCTGCTGGGTGGCCCAATCCTTCCGTGGAACAGCCTTGTTAGAGGCACCTCGGACCCAACAGGAGGAAATGACTCTGCTTTGAGGAGAACTAAACTGGATGTGATACAGGTTTCCATGTTTTATAAATCACCTAAAGTTTTACAGTACGTTATGAGGACAAAAGAGATTGGAAAGGAAAGTGAGAAAGGAAGCAGCGTCAAACCAGCAGGAACAGCTACCGTATAACAGGTGAAAAAATAGCAAAATGGACTGATTATGTCTGAACATCCATCCTTCTGAAGCAACTGCAGGTTAGAAATCATTGCTTGTGTTATTTGGCTTTGGAAGCAAGGCCAGTGCAGAAAGCTCTAGAGGAAAACGTGAGACCACCACATAGATCAGAATGATAGCGGTACAAGGAACAAAAAGGACGAAGCCAGCAGATTGCCCAGCTATAAAGAACAGCGTTCAGATCCGGAGGAAAGTTTCATCAAAGGCTGACTTAAGTGCAAGGGTTCAGACCTGACTAAGGAGCAGCTCATTTTTTGTTGCTCTAGAGCAAGACCTGTCTCCCAGGATCTGAGCGAGCGAGTGAATGTTCTCTTGCTCAGCTGAACGAGGCAGTGGCACAGTCTGGCCACAGATGGGGAATCTCACAAGTAAAGAGGAGCCATTAGATAACATATTGGAGTGACTCTGCTGAGCAGGCTGAATGCCTGCTCAGAGAAAAAAAGAGAGGAAGAGAAAACACTGTGTAATTATGAACCAGCCCAGTTCTACCTTGTCATTCCTTGTTTCTGTGCTCATCAACATTAGGCTCCCCCAGCTCTTTCCAGAGCATTTTGTGGCTGGTGTCTCTAACAAGCAACATCCCATTTATGCTAAATAACCTTCCTGGTATAGCTACAGGTTTCATGCTGGGACACTCCTTCCTCTTGCTGGAAACAAGCACCTTGTGGTGAGCTGATCCCCTGGTCAAAAATGTTTGTTCACCTTTTCCCTGTAACTCGCAGGAAGTGCAGATAGATAACAGGTCAATTTATTTCTCATAATTGATTATGGCTAATGATGACTGGAAATCCAGTTGTGACATTTCTGGACTTGTCTGCACTTTAGATACGAGGAGATATATTTTTTCGGGTCTTGGCACGTTTAGCATTTTGGGATGAACAATTTATCTACCTGGGTTCATTCTGCTGCTCCCAGAACTGGTTGTATATTAGCATGTCTCACAAAAATCATGCGTGACATTACCCCTGCATCCATATATTGAAAAGAAATGAAACTGGGGCTGGATAAAAGCCCTTTGAAGTCGGTGGAAATGTCTCCCATCAACTTCAATATGAAGAGATGAACCTAGAAATATAGGATTGGAAAGGACCTCCTGGGTCAGTGAGTCAGTCCTCTGCTGTCCTCTGCGCTCCTTTATATAATCCCTTCCCCACTGGTTGTTTCTCTTCAGCCTGTCTAAGGCTGAGGCTGTGCTCAGCATATCGCTGAAATCGTTCCCCAGAAGGAGATTTCTGCGTTGCAGGTAACCAGCGGTTCCTGAGTGTTTGATTTGTCAGCTCCTACGGGCGCGAGCAATTCCCAGTGCGTCATCTTCCAAATGCAGTCAGGTGAATGGATGCAGGTGTCGGGAGGACTGAAGGGGGTACCCGGCTATCTGCATGCAGGCTGTGTGTTTGTCACAGCTCTGAATGCTCACGTTATGGTTTCCACCAAGTAGTGGATGGGATTCATCATCCTTGCAGGGAATAATGGGGACTGATCCCAACGAAATGGGAGGGGCCCAGTTTTGTGGCAACATGAAAAGTTACAGGTAAAGGAGGCCCAGGTTCTTGGGATTTTTTTTTTTTTTTCCTCTCTGCACAGTATTCTAAATGCTGAAGGTGAAAAGAAATCATTGAAGGGTAGGACTGGGAGGATTTCATGCCATTTCATTCCCTGCCAATTATTTATAAAGAGAAAATAGTAGAGAGGGCTGGAAAGGGTTAAAATTAAAAGCTATTTCTAAAGCCTGCAATAATAATACAATAGACTGGTGGTAGCCACAGGCAGAATTTACTGTCCTTGGTCTAGTGAACCAGTATTAACCCTTCAAGTGTCCATGATGGCTCCATGCACAGTGTCACTTTCTGCTCCAGTGTAGGGATGTATGCTTTCTGTCAGATTGCTCAATTAATTATAATTGTCCTACCTTTAAAGGGATGGCCCTGGGCATACTAGGGGGTGTGGCCCTCATGGGGTTTTATTTCAAGCCATATCCTACTGTCTCCAACTCACTCAATGAATCTTACTCATCAATATTTAATGACACAAGTGTACCTTCCTTTTTTTTCCCCCCCTTCCTTTAAATTATTCTTCTGCACAGCCAGACAGGTGAATTGTCTTCCCGTTATGTTCTGGCGACAGAGAAGATGCTGCCTCGCTCTGTGTCAGCATCTAAGAAAGAGGTGGGTAGACCCACCAAAAAAAAAAATTTGAGCAGTGGGCATTACAGGCCTCTTGTTCTGCCTCTGAGACGTGACAATAGGTGTCTCGCTACAGATTCATTACCCAACAGGTATTCATCAGCTTCAAAGCTGCTTTTACTGCCTGTGTAGCACACAGGAAAAAATTCGTTTTAAGGAACAGGGCAAGCGAGACATCTCAAAGACTGTCCTTATTTTATTCTTTTAGTGCAACCTGTGCTGCTCTGAAAGCTACCAGTGACACATCTTGTGCTGTTCACACCTTGGTATTCTCTTGGACAAGAACCACATCCTGTGTATTATTGATATTTTATGACAAAGTAAAGCAATTTTAAAACATCAGGCTGCCCATCTGCTCTGAACTACTTTTCACAATATTCAAAATAGATGTGTTTCCCTTTCCTGTTTTCATATGAGTGAAATGCAGACCACAGTTAGGTTATGAGACTGGGGGCCAGGAATTTTTCTACTTTTAATCCTGTCTCTGACATTGATTCCTTCATTAGCCTTGGGCAAGTCATTTCACTTGGATATATTCGAATCACCACATCTATAAAATGGAGATGCAGTGAGGTGTCATGGAGATTTATTAGGCTGTGTCTGCAGCATACTTTGAAGAAGTCAAACCTTATACACCTGTTAATGAATGGAATTTTAAAATATGAATGAAAACATTTTCTCGTTTCAGAAGCCCAAGTTCTGATGAAGTGTCCCACAGACCTGTGACTACCACCACAGCCAGCAGGTAGGATTTTACACTTACTATGTAACCTCATGCAAGAAAAATTACCCGGAAGTTAGCATTGTGGCAGCAGAATTCCAGACAGTTTCCCAGTCAGAAATGTGTTGTTGTTGCTGGATCCCTTATTGTCCCCATGAAATGCAAAAAAGCGGGTTTTTTTTGCAGTAAAAAAAAAAAAAATCTCCAGGAGTAATTTAGAGAGTTGGTGCTCTGGGACTGCTGGATGTACAGGGCAATTAGATTCCTGCACAAATTGATCACCGTGGAGTAAAACCTTGGGCTTGTGTGAGTGTTTTGCTGCCAGCCTCGATGAAGGCAGGATCTCATCCAAGTGACTGGTAAGATTTGGTGGGAGACGTGGAGGATTCACAAGGACTTGGAGCCTTTCCTCCATCAGTAGCCTGGTCTGGTGAAGGTTAATAATCAATAGTCTTAGCCTGAAGAGGAGCTTGTGAGATGGATTGGTCCCATTCTGTACCGCCCTCACTGGCTCTGCCGAAGTTCTAGTGTTTGGCAGAAAGGCATTAAACGGGATGTGTGGCCCTGTTTGCCTCACTGCACACCTGGGGATGAGACACAGCTCAGCTCTGGCACCGGCCACAACCGAAACAAGCTGGTGCCAAACTTACATTGTCTTTACTCAGGCCGGACTTTCTGCAGACAAGAATAAATCTCCTCCATGACTAATCTGTGCATGACTCACCCGCTGTATCATAACGCAAACCTCGAAGAGCTGTGGGAAACAGCGGTGCGCTGAGGCGTGTTTTAAACGAACACTGACCCCTCTCAGCAGCCAGAGAGGCTCACACAGAAACTCGGGGCAGGAGGTGGTTTCTGCAGGGACGGGGCAGCGGGAGCACAGCGTGGTCCCCCTGCCCTTCTGCTGCCCCGCAGCTCGGCCGCTTCCCAGCCGGTCCCCGAGGCTGCCAGCTACCAAATTATCGCTACTGTTTTCCCAGCATCTCTGCCCAAAGCCTGTCAGCAGTGCTGCAGGGATTTTGAGGAGACCTCATGGAGTAAAGTGGTGGTGGTACAGCTGGGAGTGGGAGCAGGTGACAGGAGCGCAGTCTAGAGACAGAAGGACACCTGGATTAGGGAACAGAGGGGATTTGGGGCGCAGTGGGGTTACGAGGACGTAGGACAGCAACAAGAAAGATGAGTCTCGTACAGGAGATAAAGTAACCCCCCCAAAAAAGTCATGGTGCAATAATAAGATGAAGTTCATTTTAGTCACTCAAAGCAGTTTGAATTCAGCTCTTCCCTGTTCAGGGATATTTAACATACAGAGCTCAACCATAGCTGTTGCCTATGAGAGCAGACAGCTTGCTTCTCCAGCCCCTGCTTAACTTGATAGTCATAACCAAACCCATCGTTTCTCCTAACATGCAATATTACAAAAAGGGTGTTTAAAAAGTCAAGGATTTTCCTGCATGTTCTAGTTGTAATATTTTTAAAAGCCTGTGCTCAGGCCTTGCTTCCCTCTGAGCACAAAGCAGCTGGGAGTGCTGCAGAGGGAGCTTGATCGGCCCCCGGGGGAATGGGTGAAGAGGGTGTTTCTGTGACTTGCTTGCAAACCCCTGTGGCTGTTTTGAGGAGAGGCTCCTGGGATTTTACGCAGTCATGTATATCCCTTCTGGCTTGGAAAGATGGATTCTGTCCAGGGTTTGGCTGAAAAAAAAAAAAAAGAAAGGAAGGCCCTTGCTCAAAGGCTGAGTTTTGCTGGTTTAGAAATAAAATGTGGATAATGGACCCACCATTTACCACCTCCTTGTGCAGTGCTCCTCCTCCCATCCCAACATTAAATAAGAAAGCTCAGGAATGAAAACAAATGTATCCGAGTTTGTTGTGGTCACACCGATGGTAATAAGAGGCCATCAGGCTCCAAAGCCACCTGGAAACGCAGATAAGGTCGAAGAGGGAACTGACAGCCATGATCCTGCTCCATGGAGCGTGGTATGCCCCAGCCCAGCTTGCCAGCAGCAGGTGCCACTGGCTGCTCTTCGGATCTGCACCCTGCCAGTGGGGTGCCAGGTCCTTTTTCTGGGAGACCGTGGGCTGTAGAGGAGGGAAATTACAAGCAAAAGTGCTTATTTCCACTTTCCTCAGTATTCCACTGTGCCCCAAGTCGCTGCTTGCTTGTTAGGCTTCAGGCTGTTTGGCTTTTTTTTCTTTTTTTTTTTTTCTTTTATGAATTTGATGGTGTCATTTTTACACTGGAAGCCTGTTTCACCGCGTTTCTGGCAAACCCCATTGGTTAGACTCGTTTCACCACATCATGATCTTTTTTTATAGCCTGCATCTGCCAGGAAAACTTTGTCATTCATCATCTTCCTTTCTGCCGCGTTCATTTTCAGCAAGGCACAAAATGTCCTTGTGTTTCTAAAGTAATGCAAAGCCTTCTGGCTCGTTGGTCAGAGCAGAAGGGATGGATGGTGCACAGTCTTTGCGCCATGGCATGTAAATAGCGTTCAGAAGTGGGGAAGAGGAGGAAAAAGATCCTCAGCACACACAAAATAGGCCACTCCCCTTCTCAGTGGCATCCCTTCAAGAGATGGCTGCCCCAGGCACCTCTAAGTTTGCCTGTGTTTAATGCTGGTTGGTTCTGGTGGAGAGCTTTCCCCTACAAGCAGTCCCATGTTTGTAACCTTCAGGGCTGCGTTTTTCCTCCCTTTTCCCGTTACTCGTCTTGTTACGGATGAGAACCTTGTTGGTGCTAGAAACTATGTTTAAACTGGGGCCAGAACTGAAGTGCAGCTGTGTTTTGGTCAGTGGGTTTCTACACCCATAGTGGAACTGTTCCAGAAATATGTAATAATACATATAAAGCTGTTTAGCTGCTGTTCTGTTAACTAGATGCCTTCATCCAGGGTAGAATTCATGGATACTTTGCACGAGGCCTAAAGTGGGAACAAAAGCCCTCCTGAGCGTGGTTTTGTCAATCTCTTAGTTGCACCCTGTTCAGCAGAAGCTTTCTTGAAGTTCTTTGGAGATAGGTAATTTTTCAGCAAACCCGTTTGGGGTGAATCTGGGATGGTTGGCAATTTGGGGATAAAACTGAGGTTTTGCAACACATCTGCTCCAGGTCACGCCGACCTTCAACGCTCAGCTCAAAGGATGTTTTTTGTTGCTCCTCACTTGAAGAGCTGAAGCCGTTTTCTAGGCACAGAGCGTCGTGACCGTCTCTGTTTTCCAGGAACTTGGGCGTAGGTGGACCAAGATCAGAATTTAACATGTGAGCAACAGTTCTGTTCCGGTTGTTTGCTGGAGGTGGGTTTGGATTCCTGATTTGAAGTACTCACTTTAGATGGTTTTGTAGCTGTGTGAATGCCTTGAAAGCAACGAGCAAGTTCCCTTTGGCCTTCACGGGCTCCGGAGGAGAAGCCACACTGAGGCAGTGGGAAGGCAGATGTGGGAGCCAGAGCTCTGCTCTTCACCACCAGAGTCTGTCTCGCTCCTCTGTATCTCGCTTGCACAGAGGCAAATCAAAATTCAGGGACTTGTGCCACACTCTCTTCATAATGCATGGGTACAAATATTTGCATGCAGCAGTGGTTCAAAGGAGCCTGAAGATAGTATCTTAACTGTGGTGCTTTCCCAGACCATTGCTGCGCTTTGCCTTTGTGAATAAAGGCAGTAGTGTCTGCAGTCAGGAGATCTCTCATATAGATTTAATCTGGCTGTTTTCCTCCCTAGGGAGCGGAGTTGAGGATAGTGAAGTTCAAGGTAGCGTGTGTTTGAGTTTTGCAAGCAGAATAGACATGGAAATTTGAAGCCTTAATTGCACATTCCAGTCTTCTTATGGAAATGGTGAGCAAAGAGGAAGCAGAGCCTTTGGCACCGATCATGTGCCAGTTTTTAAATACCAATACAGATCTAGGGGGTTTATTTATAAACACGGCATGTGTGTATGTGCACATGTGCACACACCCTGATAGGGGTACACGCCTAATGTGCGATGTTTATGAACATCACACCACCTATCTCTGCTTATAGATTCTATTGATGATTGCTTTATTCATCTCGTGGCAGACCCATTTAAATGAAAATACGTTCCCCCATTTCCTCGCCGCTGTAAATTCCGCGCTGTGGGGAAGTAGCGAAGTGCACTACTAGCTATACATCCATGGAGAAATGCCCTGTTGAGGAGAGGAGTATTATACAGGGAACAATTGACAGCCCTTCACTTCAGTGGGTACATTTCTCTGTACAGCTGCATCACCACTAATGATAAATGAGTAATGTTTGATAGCTGGCTCCGTTGCCTGACAGCTACAGTTTTGGCCAGAGGGCCACGACAGGCTTTAGACTTCTGTTCAAAATGAGTTAAACATATTAGGTATTACGAAGCCACAGAAGCCTCGAGAATGAGTGCTGAAATGAGTTATCAAGGTATGCTCCTGGGTACACAACTTGCAAAGCAGATGTCATTCTAATAATGTGTGATATAGAACATGTCTGGCCTAAACCCTGCTGGATGAAATATGAAGCCCCGTTGGTGATATTTAATACCATTTTATGAGGTGCCATCTTATAAAGACAATGCCCGCCTTATGTGGAATGCTTAAGGTATTTTGCCAAAGGCACTGGGAGGTATCTGAACTAAGTAGAATTTTTATTATTTTATAAGCCTTTACTTTGTAATATTTCTGTTTCTACATTATTGTGGTACTAGCTGCACTAACCCTTTGTCTAGTGAACTTCATGAGCGGTTTGCTGATAGATTGACTGATAGCCACGGCTGCCTGTGGATGTAAAGGCCAGTTCCTACCTAAATATATTCCTAGCAAAAAAAACAGAGTAAAGTAGAAAGCAGACTTCAAAAGGAAATAAAGCTTTACAGGAGGCACTCTTGGAAAAGAGGTCCTTGAAGCTATGAGATCCCGAGGTTTCAGTGTTTTTTAAAGGAGTGAGGCCTGGCAAGGCTGCGAGGTTGTGTATTACAGCTGAAGTATTCGTTTTGTCTTGAATTCCTGTTGTAAACTTAGACTTCCTGTTGAGATTTC